GATGAAATTAAATCTAGGCCTTTCATCAAATATGAAAATCAGATCAAATAGATGAAAGACCTAAATGTAAAACATGACACTTTGCAATTGCAAGAAGAAAACATAGTGGAAACATTTCAAGACATTGGTGTAGGCAAGGACCCCAAAAAGGGCTGGCAACAAAACCACAGCTAGATAAATAGGATTATATCAAACTCAGAAGCTTCTACATATAAAAGGAAATAGTCAATACAGAGACCAGACATTGCATAAAATGGAAGAAAATTTTGCAGAATATTTTTCTAGGAAGGAATAATGTAATTAATATCTAGACTATATGGGGAATTAAAACAAATAGATGGACAAAATATTCAACAAGAAGGAAACAAACAAACCCAAATTGGGAAGTGGGCAAAGGACCCAAATAGACAGTTATTAAAAGCGGACTTCAAATAGCTAACACATTTACAAAAATTATCATTATCTCTAGTCATCTGGGAAAGGTAAATCAAAACCAGAATTAGATACCCACTTCATCCCTATTAGAATGGTTATTACCAAAAAGACAGAAAGTAACAAATGCTGGAGAGAACAAGAAGAAATGGGAACTCACACACTGTTGAAGGATTATGCACTGTTTGTGGGAATGTAAATTAGCCTTCTATCAAGATTGCCTAACTGAAAGCAGAAATGCCAAATGATGCAGCAACCTCACTACTTTATATATATATATATCAAAATCCATGAACTCCTTGTATCAGAGTTGCTTGGTCTCCTGTGTACTGCAGTACTGTTTGCAATAGCTATGATTTAGATTCAATTAAGATGCCCATCATCAGATGAACAGATAAAGACAATGTGATCTATATCTATATCTATATCTATATCACATATATATATATATGGAACATTATTCTACCATAAAATCATGAAATCCTGTCATTTTCAGCAAAATGAATTGCATTGGAAGACACCGTGTTATGTGAAATAAGCTAGACACAGAAAGATAAATGCTGTGTATCCTCCCTATTGCATGGGTGATAAAATGTACTCAATTTCAACATCCAGTGGTGATTAGTAGAGACTGGAAGGGATAGAGAGAAATAAATGGAGTCTGGATATGGGGTAGCGACCAGAGTTACACTGCACAGTGGGGTGAATATGGTTTACAATAACCTTAAAGATACTGTGTGAAAAATAGAACACAGTTGCTCTAGGCTTCCAATCATACAGTGATGTCACAGAAGGAGCAATATTGACTACCCCGTTTTGAGCAGTACACATTGTAAACATGTATTGAAATATCACACACAGTAGCCAACAACTATATATATATTAGTAATAAAAATTTAAAAATATTACATACAGACTTAATTTTCTGTTTCTCATTTTACCAGTTAATTATTATCCTGAAATTGATGTATATTTTTCCCACATATGTAAATCTTAGTAAATGTATTAATGTATTATTCAATAGAATTTTTATATGTTCAATAATATATATAATATATATTTTAATTCATATATATACTATATGTACATAAAGGTATATATAATTAATATATATTATATATTAATGTATTCAATAGAATTTTATATGTTCAATTATACATATAATATATATTTTAATTCATATATACTATATGTACATAAAGTATATATATATATAATATATTTTATATATATATAAATATATATAAATAAATATATTTAATATATATATAATATATATATATAAATATATATATAAATAAATATATATATAAATATAAATATATATAAATATAAATATAAATATAAATATAAATAAATATATAAATAAAATATATATTTTAATATATATACTTTATGTACATAAAGGTATATATATAATTAAAATTGAAATTCTGGGTATATATAGCTATAAACATTATTAAATGTACATCATTTCTTTATATGGTTTTATATAGTTTTCTACTTATGTGAAAACTATAGTTTTATTTGATAATGCTTTTTAACTATTTTCATAAACAGTGTTTTCATTTAAAATTACCATATTCATCTAATTAATTTCTGGTTCTTCTGTAAACATGTTACTGATTTTTTTAACTTTTGAGAATACTAAATATATTCATATTATTTTCTCTTCATATGTATATCCTTTGTCATTCAGAGGTAATTTATTTTCAGATTTATTAATTCATTAACTATCTTTTACTTTTTTGAATTTCTGGCTTACCTTAAACAACAATGTTCACTATTCCTTTCTCTTTTTGGAAACCTTTTCCCTGTAGTCACTCTTTGCCAGGTAGCATCTGGGAGTTATCACTGAACTAGTGACTGCATGACCATCCATCCTGGCTTGCAGGCTTTGTCCACTCTACTTTGTTTCCCTGAATATGCGCTGCATGTGAGCACCATGAACACTATGAGCACCATGAACACAAAACAATTTTTCACCTCTTGTTCTGAATAGCTTTCTTGATTTCTGCAGGCAAACAATGTCTAATAATTCATATAATGAAATGCCCAAGCACCCTGGATCCACTAGTTCTAGTGTTTCCACCCATCTCCCAATGTGCTTTCATTAAAGCTGTTGTGGAGAGAAGCATCTGTGCATCATGTACACATTCACCATGGCATGGCTATCTTCTTTGTAATTTCTTCTTTATAGACTATTAGGTATAAATGCCCTATGTGTGCAAAAATCATCTGATTCCAATAATATTACTTACATTATCATTAATTCTTTCAGGGCCTTAAGGTTAGTATTTGTAATCATGATTGCCGATATAAACCCTGAGGCCCAGGAGGTTAAGGGGTGGATTTGTTAACGTCCAACCAAGATTGCTCCCGTGTATGTCTGCAGGTGTTGTTAGGAAACTGGTGCAGTTTTAGCCAGGTGGCAGCACGGCCCAGCTACCTGAGCCAGGCTCCACCCCCATCCTAATGGGATTCGCTGCTCCTGCTTCCCTGCCCGCCCTCAGGCAAAGTTTTAAAAGGGCCTGTTCCTGAACCTCTTGATCCTTCTCTCCTGCGCTCTCTTGGCCTCTCTTGGCTTCTCTCCTCTTCTCGTCTCTCTTCTCCCTCCTCTCTCTCTCTCTTACAGTCTCCTTCTATCTCTTTTTCCTTCACCGCCCCTTCACTCCGGTCTGTAGGGTGTTCCCCAACAAACCCTTTCCCTTACTCGGTGTTCGGTGTGTTTTACGACGGCTAACATTAACATATAACAGGTGTGCATGTGCATTGTACTTCGTTTTCAGAAAATTAATTTTTTGCATCCAAGATAAATTATTTTCTTTTTTTATAATTTCATCAGTTTCAAAAATTGCAAAAGTATTCATGCAAATAAATTCAAATGTCTTCACTACTATACAAACTACCTGTTTCTTATACTGGTGACAGTGTAGTTGAATGAAGCATCCATTTGCATGTCTAAATTAAATGTCGAAAAGTTGCACATGAACCCTTTTAAAAATGTGAACACATCTGAGAGGAATATTTTATGTATGAGTTTTAACAATGATAACGTTTTCATGCCACTTACTTAAGACATCCCCAAAACTGCCAATTAAGTTGACAAATTGCTGATATAATAACCATACAGGGAAGACTTATAGTTATCACTGTAGGTTTCAGGAACAATATAATTCTGTTTTTCCATAAACCTCTAGATTTATATCTTTGTAGATTATATAGTTTAAATTTAATACATGTTTCAAGCTAAAGTCAAATTTTCATTGTAGTTTCATCAGTTAAAATTTTTGAAACAAATTTTAAAATATTTAAATGAAAAATTCCTACTGAATTATAGGCATGGGAATCTATAAATGATTTTCAAGTATTAACATAGCAAACTAATGTCCTTTTAAATTATATAACTTTTGAAATACAGAAAAATGTGAATTGAATATTAAAATGTATTTAAGTATACAATAGTCAGTTAAATACAATTTTCACACACAAACAGGCATGAAGATACTCTCCCATAAGGGTAGCTGATCATTGGACAGCCTTTCTTAAAGTGATAGTGACAATTAAACTTTACATTGTTCATATGGAAATTTTTATGGTTGTATACACATTTTGATATCCTTGCTATGATAATTTGAAGAAGCTTAGGGATCATGGGGAAAAAAACTACTATCATAGTTTATCATTTAGTGATCTGGCATTTGGAAATGCTTCTCCTAGATGTGTATAAGGGAATTAAATGTCTTCTGCAAAATGTATGTGCCATTGTTTCCTTCATGTGACTTGGAGGAAAGTGTAAAATACTAAACAACAGCATACTTACATAAATATGATCAAATATTCTGGGGAGAGAGGTGATGCTAATGAAAAAAGTGCACATGGTGAATGGCTTCCAACATTTCCCTAATGTATGAAGAATGACTTGTATACAACTGTGAGGAATCAGATGCTTAGGCATCTAAATAATGATGAATCTTCCATAGTTACTAAATTATGGGGTTCTTTATTCCCACATAATACAGTAGTTTAAAGAAAAATAAATTAAAAACTGCCATGATGCTCACAATTATGCATGTTTTTCTACTCATATTTCAGAAAATATTCATAAAAACAGGAAGAAATATAATTTGTGTGGCATATCTTGATAGACTTGCTAATACAAGATGATTTCAAACACTGCATTTCCTTTTGTAACTGTCTCTGGGACATATTTTTCATTTTTCATAATTTAAATATTTTCTACCTCCTAGTAGTTGCAGCAGCTCTCATAAACATGTTTGTCAGCTATGATTTCTCTTAAAATTTGCCCAAGAGCATATTGCATGTGCATTTCTTGTTTAAAGGGATGCTTCTGAATAAATTCAATGAAAGCTATTTGTACATATGGCACAATTTTAAATACAAGCTATTCGCAGATCACAACACATTAACGTCAAACTGACTTGGAATGCTGATTTTCAAGCTGTTTGTGAATATACTAGAATAAAGCAAAACTGATCAAGTCCATTCCATAGTAAGTCAGAGCAGAAATAACACACTTAAAAACAAATGTATGTACGCATGTTCACCTTCATTGTCCTTAAGGGTGAAGTTTGGGTTTACAGGCAGGTGCTCATCAAGAAAGAAGTTAAACCTTGGTCCATTGGCAAAGTCATCTTTATCGGTGGCACTGATGGTATGAATAACCTGGGGAAAAGACAAATACTAAATAGTAAATTGCATTTGGGCATATTCCCTTGGATTGAGCTGCATTATTTTTGATAGTTAAAAGGACTTTGAAAGCATCCCTTTATCCAATTCAAACGTTTAAAATTAAACTTAAAAGTACCAATTAGTTTCTCCATTGAATTAAAGTATAGGGAAAAACTTGGCACAATTTATAAAACATTCACACTTCATTTTCTAGCACAGCACAAACGTTTAAATTCTTTGCTTTATCTCTCACAGTACCGTGGGGCCAATTAGTTGTGATATTTTGTATGAACACCTGTTTGAGGAGACATGAAGTATTGTTTGCACAAATATAAATACCCCAGTGTTGCTGTAGAACAGCCTTGTGGTGCATGTTGGGCTTGGCCATTAAATGCCAGAAGTAGCAGAGGCATACACATGAGATTCTCAACATATATAGATATTTTGTTTTAAGAGACGTTTGAGATCATGATCCAGCTCCTACATTTTAAAGATAAAGAAACTGAATCCCATAAGTGCTTGTGAGGTGCTCACATCTTTGAAATAGTGACCTGCTCAAGTGGTGCTTTATTGGTCATCATTCATCTCCAGTGGTCAAGAGAAAGCAACTCCAATGTCAGGACTTAGTCCATGTTAAGAAGCAGAGTAAGTTCAAATCTATAAAAAATATTCCAGGTGGTCCAAGAGAAGAACAAAACTGTAATATATAGGGTCACTACAATATCAAAAACAGACATCCAAAGAAATAAACAAAGCAGTATTTAGCTCATTCAAAAATGAGTATCCTGGGGCTGGTGTTGTGGCACAGCAAGTGCAGTAGACTTCAAGGATTGCACCCTATATGAGTGCCAGAGTCATGGATGCTCCACTCCCGATCCAGCTCTCTGCTATGGCCTTGGAAAGCAGTAGAAGACGGTCCAAGACCTTGGGGCCCTGCACCCACATGTCAGATCTGGATGGAGTTCTTGGCTCCTGGTTTGGACCTGGCCCAGCCCCATCTGTTGTGGCCATTTGGGGAGTAACCAGAGGATGGAAGATCTCCTTCTCTCTGTAACTCTGCTTTTCAAATAAATAAACATTCTTTAAAAATAGTATCCTAATGTTAATATGTTCTCTTTTAACTCCTTTTTGTGGCCTGCATTGTGGCATAGCAGGAAAAGCTGCTGCTTGCAACACTAGGATCCTATCTGGGTGCTTGTGTGTGTCCCAGCTACACAACTTCCATTCTAGTTCCCTGCTTATGGCATGGAAAAAGCAGTGGAAGATGGCTCAAGTAGTTTGGACACCTTCAACCCATGTGGGAGATGTGGTTGAAGAGCCTGACTCCTGGATTTGGCCTGGCCCAGCACTGGCTGTTTTGACCACCTGGGGAGAGAATCAGAGGATGGAGGATTTCTGTCTGTCTCTCCCTCTCTCTCTGAAACTGACTTTCAAATAAGTGAATACACCCTTAAAATTAACCAAAAGAAGAAAAAAAATCCTTCCTCATAAAATTAAAAACAAGTCTCTGTAACTCTGTCTTTCAAATATATAAATATTGATTTAAAAAAATAGTATCTTATTATTAAAATGTTCTCTTTAAATCTCTTCCTTAGTGGGGCCGGTGCTGTGGCATAGTGAGTAAAGCCACTGCCTGCAGTGCCGGCTTCCCATATGGGTGCTGGTTCGAGTCTTAGCTGCTCCACTTCCAATCCAGCTCTCTACTATGGCCTGGGAAAGCAGTGGAAGATGGCCCAAGTCCATGGGCCCCTGCACCCACGTGGGAGACCCAGAAGAAGCTCCTGGCTCCTGGCTTCGGATCAGCGCAGCTGCAGCCCTTGTGGCCACCTGGGGAGTGAACCAACAGAGGAAGAAATCTCTCTCTCTCTCTCTCTCTTTCACTCTCTATCACTGCCTCTCTGTAACTCTGACTTTCACATAAATAAATAAATAAATAAACCTTTTTAAAAAAATCTCTTCCTTAGAGAAATTAAAAACCAAGGGAGGGAATAAAGAGCTAGAAATATAGTATATACTGTTTGTGAACCTACAGTATATACATTGTACGAGCAGATACACATTCTAAGAACATCTCAGTACCAGCAATACCAGCAAAATGAAATTACTCAGATAATTCACCAATGGGTTTCTCAGATAAAACCTAAATTCTTTTTGATATAGTGGGCCTATTATTTTGTTAGGGAGTTGAGAAGGGTTATATAGCTACTGAGGAGGGGAGGCCAGTGGGAGTAAGAAGAAAAGAGCAAGTATTTCCCTGAAGTGACAAGGACAGTGTTCCAGGACACACAAGTGATCGCCTTCCTCGATGCATTCACAGGGCTCACCACACATGTGTTCCATCAGTGCTCCAAAAGTGCTCACAACGAGATATCCTATGCCCTCCTCCGAACCCTTCTCTCAAGAGGTCTCTCTCCCTCTTCTCTAGAATATTTCACTGCATATTATTTATAAGCTGAACATTTTGTATTTGTTTACTGTCTCTCTCCTCTCTTTTAAAATATACATAGTCTCTGGACAAATATTTTCCCCCATATTTTGCCTGTGACTCTGAGTAGAAGGTACTATTGAAGCCAGCGCCGCGGCTCACTAGGCTAATCCTCTGCCTGTGGCGCTGGCACACCAGCTTCTAGTCCCGGTTGGGGCGCCGGATTCTGTCCCGGTTGCCCCTCTTCCAGGCCAGCTCTCTGCTGTGGCCAGGGAGTGCAGTGGAGGATGGCCCAAGTTCTTGGGCTCTGCACCCCATGGGAGACCAGGAAAAGCACTTGGCTCCTGCCATCGGATCAGTGCGGTGCACCAGCTGGCCTTGGCGGCCATTGGAGGGTGAACCAATGGCAAAGGAAGACCTTTCTCTCTGTCTCTCTCTCTCACTGGCGGCCATTGGAGCGTGAACCAACGGCAAAGGAAGACCTTTCTCTTTGTCTCGCTCTTTCACTGTCCACTCTGCCTGTCAAAAAAAAAAAAAAAAAAAAAAAAAAAAAGGTACTATTGGATAATAAGAAGCAAATTTTAGTGATTCTTCTGATGTGTGGAAAGCTTCAAGCACAGCTCAGAATGCTGTGTCAACAGAGGAACATGCATATATTCTCTACACAACAGTTACTGGAGATGAAATGCAAGCAAAAACAATGTCAGATGTTGAAGTTTGTTTTCAGAAATAAATAAATATATTTTAAGAAGGCATTGGGGTTGGTGCTGTGGCATAGTGGGTAAAGCCACTGCCTGCAGTGCCGGTACCCATATGGGCGCTAGTTCGAGTCCCAGCTGCTCCACTTCCAATCCAGCTCTCTGCTATGGCCTGGGAAAGCAGTAGAAGATGGCCCATGTCTTTGGGCCCCTTCACCCATGTAGGGGACCTGAAAGGGGCTCCTGGCTCCTGGCTTCATATTGGCACAGCTCCAGCTCCAGCTGTTGGGGTCATCTTGGAAGTGAACCAGCAGATGGAAGGCCTCTCTCTCTCTGCCTCTCCTTCTCTCTCTACGTAACTCTGACTTTCAAAAAAATGAATAAATCTGTTGAAAATGCATGTCTCTCACCCCTTACTTGTCATTTGTTGTGATTCTTCGGCGTCCGATCCATTTTCTCTATGTACCCATAAGATACTGACACACTTGTAATTTTATTTCTTATCCCCTTATATAAATTTGGAAGATATACAAAGAAAAAAGTTCATTTAAAACAACTGGATAGCTTCCTGCTATCCATTCTGTGGCATTATTATATTCTTTTCTATTTGTCAAAAGTTAGTTAATAACCTATTTGTCTTCTTCATATTTTATAATTAGGCTGTTTCTATTTTTAAATTCCCTTTTAAATATTTATTCATTTATTTACTTTTTATTGAGGCGGAATCACACATACAGGGAAGGAGGGAGGGAGGAAGGGAAAGAGAGAGAAAGAGAGAGAAAGAGAGAGAAAGAAAGAGAGAAAGAGAATCTTCCATCACTTCCCAAACGGCCTATCAGAGATAGGGCCAGGTTGAAGCCAGGAGCCAGGAACTCCATTTGGGTCTCCCACAAGATTGGCAGAAACCCGAGTACTTGTGTCATCTTCTGTTGCCTTCCCAGGCCCATTAATAGGGAGCTAGATGGGAAATGGAGCAGCCAGAACTCAAACAAGCACTCTGATGTGGGTTGCTGGCATTGCAAGTAGCAACGGCTTAACCTGCTGTAGCATAACACAACACTTTGCTAAATTCATACAATTCGTATATTACTGTGTTTACTGGTTTTGTGTAACTTTTAGTAAAGTATCTTTTCCATTTTTAATCAGAGAATTTAAAATCTGAACTTAATGGGGACATCACTTGATATATTTGTATTCCTTAGCCAATGAATGCCAGGCTTATCCACATGGTAAATGATGTATCACACGTTTTTTGACCGGACTCCTTTCACTTGTAGAATTGCCAGTTTGTATTTATGATTAAATTTTATCTGTCATATTTATTAAAATTGTTTTCAAACACCTTTCATGGTGGTCTGCCTTGGTTTAGAATTCTTGATCTGTGATGGTGTATTCAATGTTTATGTTTTACTGAACGTCCTTTTGTTTTAATTGGGAAATAGGATTTGCATCTGCTGTTACTTTACATATCCATTAGAAAATATAACTGAGAAAATAGCATGATGTGAATTGGAGAAGATTTAAACTCTGGCAGATCTAGGTGCTGTCAAATTCCTGTCATCGATATTTTCTACCCTGCACTCAGAGCTGTGATTTATACACACTGTGCTACTGGCATTTTCCAGGTAATTGATTGGCAATGTAAACCCCCTGACAATTTCTTGTTTGATTTCCATCCTTCTATCAAACCCATTCTCTAGCATATACCTTCCATTAAATTAAAGCATAAATTGTTTGATTAGATTGAAATATATGACCGTCATATGAAGGTATTTCTTGAAGTTTGCTAGAAGTTGAAGTAAGGAGGTAATCTTTATAGTGCACAGGCTAAGCTGCCACTTGGGACATCCACATACAATATGGGAGTGCCT